CAACACAACACAACACAACACAACACAACACAACACAACACAACACAACACAACACAACACAACACAACGCAAAACCACACAAAACCACACAAAACCACCAAAAACCACACAAAACCACTTCGCTTCGCTCGAGCTTCAATATGATGCTCAGGTCAGAGTTCAAGATATATAATTCAGGGTTTAGAACATAGAAATAAATTAGATCAACTATTAGAGAAATTAGAAACACATTAGAAATGTTTGTGAGACTCACTAGGACACGAGATCGCCATTTAGACTGATAGAATTTGCATATCGAGTAGATGTGAAATCGTTTTGGGTAGCTGTATCGGATTGACCGATGTCGTTCATTGTGAAATTGGGTAGTTTTCGATTCGGCAAAGGTCGCGGTGGCAATATTCTTTTATTGTATTCCCTAGAGAAAAGTGAAAGCGAGTTTTCTGTGCAGTCGAGTGTTAATTAAGAAAATTCACGGTTGCGTAATCGCGAAGAAGAGTGTAATGTGTATTGATCTTTCATGCAATTAAGTAAGAACCTGTCAGCCACAGAGTCCAATGCCTTCCGATGTGATGTTCAACTAAGAACGTCCCACAAATACCAAGAAATATGAGAGCATCTTTCAACCGATCAATCAATTCATAGTTAGATTAATAGAGAAATGTATTACATTATTTATTATAATCATCAGTTCATGTATCTTTCATATTCTTCCTCATTGCAATGTCATAATTATAATTGCAACAACAATCCTGATTAATTATTAATTTATAACTGCCAAGTCACAAGTATAATTGCCACTGAAGCCAGTCAGTACAGAAATTGGGTGATGAATACTGCTGGACCAAAAAGGGTTGCCCTCTCTAAGGCGTTTGGACACACACAGGCAGACATACCTCCTTTAAGTAGTAGTGGACTCGTCCACTGAGTTATAATACATTTGAAGAATGGCAATATTTGCTGAGATGTGAATTGAACCTGATGGGAGACGTTTTGTGTAAAATGTTGCATTAACGCAACGCCGTGAGTTAACGGGTTAAATCGGAACTGTGTTAAGAAGTCGTGTACGAATTGAGAGTCAAACAAGAACTTGCGGAAACCTGCTCGCGTGGGAGCGGAAGATGCAACAGCACGATCCGTTAGATAACAAATACAAACGGTTTCAAACAGACAATGAGCATATAAAAACTATTCCCTGGGAGCAAATGTCAGTCGTACAAGAGATCACCTGATTAACCGCCAGCGAAACCATTGTTCGTCATCGGTTTGAATAAATGTCAGCTTCGACCAATTGGTCGGCGTACATTGTGCCCGCCGGACAAGAAAAAAACTTGCAGACTGTCAGAGCCGGGGTACCAACTGTCTCTCGTCAGACAAATGAGGGACATTGCAACAAAAACCATAATAGATGTTTTAACAAGCTTTCTTTCATTTTTGTTATTAAATTATTGGCTCATTTTGGGATTCTCATGATTCTCCATTATGGCGTCGATCATTCTAATGAGAATATTAATTAATGGCTGTTATACATTTTGTTCATCGCCATTATCCAGGCTGCCAACCTCAACACAAAGCCTGTAGGGCTTTCTTATCAACAATTATTAGCAACAGACATGTCACACATTTAAAGAAATCAAAGAAAAAGAAAAAACCATAAGCTTGAGCGTCGAAATGACTCGTGAAATCAGGTCGTCGACATGAAGCCTCTGGTTCAATCGCCATTATTCAGAAATGTCACGTTCCTCTTTAGAACCGTTGATACGAACGATTAACTCGTAAGATTAACTCATCACTTCGATCGGATTGGCAAACGGTGAGAAAAAACGATCAAGAAGTTTCATAACCGACGTCAATTTTGCGCGATCTCCGAGGATCTCCAAGGATCGATGATCGTGTCTAACGATAGTAAACTCTTCTAGGATTGTCAAATATTTTTATGATCATTTCGTAACAGTTATCGAACCGAGTGTATATGATGACACTTGATGATGAACAGCGCAAGGGGTCCTCAGTTGCGTTATGGCACTGGTTATGCGCTTTCTCTGTTTATTAGCTTGTCCACATTTCCTGGTTATCGGTTTTTATAGTTTGACACTTAGAGATATC